CTCGTGTTCGGCAGGACGTCGACTCATGTCCATATTCAAAGTACCTCTACCGGCGTCACAATGGGGTCTAATCTTCACAATGTCACTGTGTTCTCCAGTCAATCTCCACGTGGATGGCTCGCCTGTAACTGATAGCTGTACTGTTCAATATCAACGTGAATATGAGTCTGAAGCAGCTAATTCTTCAGCAACCCAATCTTTGAGTGATTCAGTCTCGGGCGCTCTCATCTCGTTCGCCAACATCCAGGGGTTGCTCTGGGTTCGCTTCCACTCCCAACACTTTCTCATCAGCCTCCCTGAATACGAAACCTCCCCACTGCGAGGTAGCAACCCAGCCAGCTGCATCAACAATATCTTGTCTCTGCCTCTTCTGGTCCAAAGCTTCCTCTGCGCTGATACCCGGTGCAAATCCACGGACGTTCTCGCGATCAACACGTAGCCATCCCTTCCAGCCTGTTGTGATATCGCCAGCTCCAACACCACCCACAACGATAGTCCCCCACCATTCGCGACCGGCACTCGCCTTTGTGACACTTCCATAGAGAAGAATGCCCTCTGCCTCGGCTACGAGAGCACGAGTATTGTCTGAGTCACTTCGTGCTGGGCGGTAGATGTAGGCATGTTGCAAATGATATGGCGAACATGTCAGGCGCGTGGCATCAAATCGACCTTCAATATCGATGACCAGAATGGCGTAAAGGTGAGGAGGGGTGATGAGGTTTGATATGAGCCTGTATAGCAGTGGCAGATGACGACCAGATATGCCAAGACCAGCAGATTTTGTGGCACTAAAGTGAACTGCTGTAATATCATCAAGTTCTGATACATACGTAAGTTTGTTTGGCAGGATTTGGGGCTGATGCTGGACCTGATCCCGAATGCTCGAGCAATTGGGATCTGGAGGGAGTGAAGAGCGTATGTTTCGCAGGACCTGTGTTGATAGTTTAGTAAGTCTTTAAGTGTGATAAGTTGATAAGCAAAAGTCTGAAGGTCGCTCGAAAATGTAAGCCTTGGTAGTGGACTTGGATCAAAAGTGATGTTGACTTCATTCTTTCGTTGGCTCAAGGGTAGGCCACGCCAGCTCATAAGGTCCATGATACGTGACGCGTAAAGGTATTTCGAGGGGTTTTCTGTGATTAAATGAAAGTGAAACAAATTCAAAAGAAGCCATGGCAGCAGTTTGGTGGACTTCTCAAGACGATATCCCGACATATCTAGTCGTGATGTGCTGAATGCTTGTGTCCAATAGGCAAGAAGCTTTGGCCCAAAATCTCGTGTTCAACTTACGTCTTCAAGGCTCATCTCAACAACCTCGCCCAGTAACCGGCTCCCCGTTGCTGTCTCCATTCTGAGACCCCGGAAGCTGAACTTGATAGGGGCCTTTTTACTTGGATGCTGATCGTTTAGTACGGTCTTCGGTGTTTTTGGCAATGGGCTATCCGTGCCAAGTCTTCCACGCTTCAGAGCTTCCTGAGAGCGTGCAGACCAACCTAGGCGGCCGGAAGCGCAAATTGGATAGAGGGTCCAATAATGTCGAGCTCTCTGGATGCGAACTTGTCGAGATGCTGCAGTATAAGTGCGAAATAAAAGAGCCCGTCAAGCCGGATAGTCCTGTACAATGCTTTGCGATTGAGCGATTGTTCCGGAAGTAAGTTCTCCCCCACCTGATCCTACAATGGCGCCCCAAACATAGTTGTACCGTATCACAAATGTTCTGACGTCGGTATTCGCTGGTATAGATGTAGAGATAAAAAGGGCTCTTTTATGGTCGAAACGACGGCTTGGGAGGGCAGAGAGTATCCTCCGGTGGGACAGAGAAGTGATGACGGAAAACACAGCAGAGACAGGGCATCTCCTCAGCACTATCACTGGTCGTCAAGTTGGCACGCGCCAGACGCAGCACGGTGAACCAGACCATCGGTTTTATAACAACCCAGGGCAACTTCCTATTGTCTCCGAAAATCACATATAGCATGCTTACTTCTCAAGGGAGACTCTGATTCTCTTGTGAAACTCAAACGTCATTGTTAGCCTCAGCCAAGTAGAGCATGCATCCCCGTCGTGCGTACGACCGACCCAGGTACAGAACAAGAACAATGCAGCCTTCAAATAATGCCGATTCTACGATAGTGACGTGAGGTTGAATATCAGAGCGCTGAGTCACCCGCAGGGCTGCAACAAGTTGATGACGGCATTGCCGGAATGGGCCGAGGTGCTCAGCACACAACATCGTTATCGAACCATGAGTTTACACAATCAGGACAAACTTTTACTATTTGCTAGATTTCAGGATGAGATATGAAACAAAATGGCTCCTATCGACCAACAATTGACGAATGAATCTCTAATTATGATTCGGCCACACGGGGCTGCATTGTCGATCCCAGATATACTCTCGGCCTCACGAATTGCATTTTGATAGCTCGGTTGCCCTTGCCCGTGAATATGGAATGCACGAAGACCGTTTCAAATGAAGCGTTGGTGGTATTCTCTTCTCTACCCAGCTACACGACAAACGAAACATCGGCAAGCCGCCTGAACGTATCTATGTGCACTCCCATCTCTCATTGCCCTTGCTTGAATGACAAAGTGTTATTTCGGTCCGTTGATTCTTTTACTCGTTCTTCTGGGCAGCTCGCTCCTCTTCGAGCTTGATGTAGTAGTTGTCGCGGGCGTTGGTTCGGGGCATGTGGAAGCCGTACCTGGTTCGGAGGGGTGAGCATATACTCTCAGCGTCGTGTCGTTTCGTCGGCGGCATTGCTTACCAGAAGAAGTTGGCCATGACGAAGCCGGAGCCTACGAGATTGCTAGTCAGCTAGGTGTACTTCAACCAACCACATCATTCGAATTGTCAGCCCCTCGAAGATCCCTCCTCTTGAAATATGTGATTGCCAACTCATGTAATCCGAATCAATCCGTCACAGAAATCGACGTACCGAGGGCGATGCTGAGGTCCAGGACGAGGTTTCGTCGGAGCATCTAGCGCAGTTGTCAGCCCACGAAAAGCTCTGGTACCGGGAGGCTCAGGCTCCTCTGGCCCGGTGGAGTGCGAAAAGCGAGCCATTGAGTCGAAGGAAACGTACACCGGTGATGGGTCGGACGGCCATTGTGACTAGATTACTTTTGCGAAGCTGTTCGGGCGAAGAAGCGAGGCTTTCGAGAAAGTATAGAGGTGCTGGGGAGTTTCGATGTGGTCAAGCAGTTCCAAGTTGATTCCGAAGATGGGCTGATGTTAATCGCGCTAACACCCGAGTCACGTGCACGCCATTCGGTTGAACAACGGCGAATCATGCCGAAAAGAATCTCGCCCATTGAAACCACCTTCAGTTGGAAGATAACATCAGGTAGACAGTGGTCGGTTTGCAGAGCCCGACAATATCTGCTACCATGAGTCTCCGACTTGCCGCGCGGCGGCTGGCAGTATCAGGTACGGCAACGCTCAGTCCGCCTTCTTTGCAACTCAATTGGCCCAGAAGCTACACGGACTAATCAAGAGCTTTTCACTATAGCAAGGACCGCACACCCTATATCTAGTACACCAGCTCCTGTCTTCTCTACTACTATCGGACCCTCAATACAACGACGGCATAAATGGGCTTCCAATCTCTTCAAAGGATGGGGCAAACCCCGGAATAAAGACGCTGGAGCTTCACCCGCACAGGACCCTACATCTCTGCTCGACGACCCAAAGAGCCGTGAAGAATATCTACAGAAGAGCATGTACAGCGGTGTGGAGGACAACATTTTCCAGGACGAGATCGAAAAAGTCAGTACCGACACCACCCCGGGTGCTCCCGAGATCGAGCAAAAGACGAAAGAGAACATGGCCATGGTTGTGGACCCCGATCCTCGAAGTCGAGTGCGCTGGCAGCGTAAGAAGGTTATTCAGATGGTTCGCCGCAACGGCCGTCTGACAAGAGACGAGCGCATTCAGATGTCAGAGCGCCAACTTCTGCACAAGAGCGAGTTCATGCCCACAAGTGTCAAGAAACTCGTAATGCTGGCACGTCAGATCGCAGGAAAGAGTGTCGACGACGCCATTGTGCAGATGAAGTGGTCCAAGAAGAAGATGGCAGCCGAAATTGGATATTACCTTGAGGAGGCTCGAGATTTGGCTATTGCACAGCGTGGTATGGGGCTCGGAAAAGTCAACAATGAGATTTTGACAACTCCCAAGAAGATCCAAACATTCGATGGGAAATGGATTGAGATTGAGGACCCGACGCGAATGTATATCGCTCAATCGTGGGTTGGGAGGGGCCCCTGGCGAGGAAAGAGAATCGATTACAAGGGTCGTGGACGAATGGGCATCATCAGACATCCTAGCACAAGTATGCCCGCATTGGTTACATATCTGGTACTGGAATCGCTAACCCATCTCTAGGTCTAACGGTGTTACTCAAGGAAGAAAAGACAAGAATACGAGAATACGAGGAGCGTGTGGAAAAGAAGAATAAGAAGGCACCCTGGGTGCATCTCCCCAACCGACCAGTATATGGACAGAGGCCATATTACTCGTGGTAAAGCCACGACTGTCCTCCGAAAATGAAGTTTAAAAAAGAGACGGAGTCTTCCGGCGCTGCCAGAGACCACCATGTAATTTCTCATAGAAACTTGTAAGATATGTACAGTGAAGTGTACACTTGACAGAGATTGAAGTTTACGCTCCAGTGCTAAGTCGATTTACTTGATGTGGTATATTGGCTCTCGCCTTATGTTCATAAAATAATCGTTCGACGTCGAGTTGGCTCAAACCTTGTTGCCACTTATGATTAACAAATCCATCAACATCAGCCCTTCGCGGGTGAAACCATACCGTTTCATAAAGCGATATGTATTGGCGCCTCGCCGAGTGGCCAGTATTGGATTACAATTAGACATGCTCTATGCAGTGATGTTATGCAGTGATTAATATAGTGCGCATGCGATTGTCATCTGCCATATATTGATTCTGCTGTGCCCCGTTTTAAACGCCGATGTCTCCCACAAGTTGTCTTTGCTCAAACCATGTGTCGCGGTTCCTCGCGAGGAAGCATATCCTCATATCGATGGGACATTAGTTCAAGGTCATATCCATTCTTCTCGCCAATGGACCCTTGGTCGGGTAAAGGATAACTGCGGTCCCTGGTAGCCATAGGCGGCGACATGCTTGCCATGTTTCCACGAGGGAGGTCGCGCTGGTTTTGACGTTTCTTCCAGAAGAAGAAACCTGCGATGCCGAGAAGTGCGAGGATACCAATAGTAACTCCAATACCAACACCGGCCTTTGCAGCGCCAGACATGCCGCTGGAAGATTCTTCCTTCTTGTCTGAGTCGTCGTCTGAAGAGTCAGAGGTAGCTGCAGCACCAGCCGCCTCGGAGGCTGTTGATGAGCTGGCGGCATCGGTGGAGGAAGCAGAGGACTCAGGTCCTGTGGCCTGTCAATGTTTAGTATTCAGTTTCCTTCGACGCTTGATTGAACAGCCTTCTTACCGTAGCCTCGACGGCCCCGGCAGTTTCAGACGTGGAAGCCGCATCGATAACACCAGTCGAAGTGGCTTCGGGTGCCTCTGAAGTTACCGGGGGCACAGCAGAACTTGATGCAGCATCAGAGGTATCAGCCGCGGCAGGGGTTTCCGATGTTGCTACAGCTGCTGCAGATGTTGTCGCTGCGCCTGACGCCGACGTTGCAGCAGCTTCTGGAAGGGCAGGGAGTTGCTGACCTAAGCCTTGTGAGCTTTTGCTACTTCATGTAAGATACTACTGAATCCTGGCAACATACCCACACAAAACCCGTTGCTCAAAAAGCTGGTAATATCGGCGTCTGCAGCATTGCATGAAGGCGCCCTTGCGCACTCAGCCACACCCTTGATAAAGCTGGGGCTAACACAAATACAACCGGCCTGGGTGGCATCTGCGCAGCCCACAGTTGGCTTAACTGATTCAACACATGTGTTCTGGAAGCCATCAGCACCTGTTTCGAGTGAATGCATAGTGATCAAGCGCTAGTCACTTACGATGCAGTCCTGAGCATAGACACCAAGAGTCTGTAGGGCGCCCAGCGCCACGAGAGTTGAAAGAGAAAAGCGCATATCGGAGGAAGTATGCGGCGAGATAAAACCTCGCTACTTTGAAAGATCGTTAGTAGCCAGAGGTGAACCAAGTCTGAAGTTCAAGACAGGCTGGCTGGATAAAGAATTGAGTGTGAGAAGTGGTGGCAGGTGCGGTCACAAGGATGAATCGTGACAATGGTGGCTCCAAACTTGCGATATCAACGATAAAATGCCGCAGGTAGATCCAGGAACAATCCCTCAGGAGAATCGGAAAAGAAATCTTGAAATAGAAATGAGAGACGAGTCGGACAATGTCGTGCAATGTAACAGAAGTGGCTTGGTCCAACGTGGCACTCGATACAGCAGATGGAGGGTCCCTGAGAAGAATACGAGTGAATGAAGGCCCGGGTTACGGATTCGTTGTCGTCGGTTTAGCCCAGAAAGAGCAATTCGAAAGGAAGGTGGAAAAGAACAATACGGTAAGGTAAGGTGAAAAAAGAAGAATACGAAGAATTGACCACAAGGAATGACTGGATGGTGAGATAACGAGGGACACTTGAGAGAGTGAAAGAGTCCAACGCGCAAAGGTGGTCGTGAGAAGTCGAGTCGAGGATGAGGTTGAGGTCAGGACAAGACGAAAGCAGAATAGAAACGAAGCCGTTTGAGAACGGGAGAAAGAAAGGTGGGTTCAGGTGACGACAACAGCCAAAGGGAGAGAAAGTAAAGCGTTCAATTGAAATGAGATGAGTTGGGACGAAGTAAGGAATGAAGCGGACGGGGAACTGGGAAAAGAACGGGGGGACCCGGTAAGATTGCACTGAGGTCAGAAAGAATGTAATGTAAAGGTAGGTAGTTAATGCAATGCAAGCACTCGCTCTTTCGTGGGAGGGAGCAGCAAGCTAAAGAAGCATAATAGGTAGAGTAGGTAGGTAGGTAATAATTAATAATGCTTCAAGAACAAGCAAGCTTGGTCCAGTGCTGTTATACAAGGGCGACCCAGCTCGATGGGTATCAGATCCTTCCAGGGGATGATCTAGCTTTCCATTAGTAGGTACCTACCTAGACACGAGGGAGCCTAGAAATAGCACAGATGGCAGCTTTCTGCCGGTCTGGGTGCAATGCATGTTGGTTGTTTCCTCGCCCTCCGCCCTTGATTTTCCAACACTCTTTGTACACAAAACGCCTTGTGCATGCATGTGTGTGCCCCTGGCGGCTTGGCCTCCTGCAACGCCAGGGACCGGATCCAACATCATAAACCTGACAAGCACCGCCATCAACGTCAGTTCCCTTTCTTTTCCCAAAAGGGGGGTCCAATCATCCCCCAATGGCAGAAGCGAGCACAACAAGATTGCCATTCAGGTCTGCCAGAGCGTTGCTAGCGGCGGGGAGGAGGGGAGGGGGCTCCTGGACACCCCCCTGGCGCCAGGTACAAGCGCCAACTATCCCAGATTCCTTAGCTTACTTGGCCTGTTTACCGCCCAATAGCCATCTCCCAAGATGGTCTGGCTTGTTTCATCTACCTTACTTAGGTATGTGTTTTTCTCTCTCTCTCTGTATTGCTGTGTACCCGGGGGACTGAGAGGAAACTATACATTCTCCATGTTCTTCTCTGACTCGTCCTGTTAACTCTCCATTACTTCGTTATGCGTGACTCTGTGAGATAAGGTACCCATGTACCGATGACACACGCGAGATTTCAGCTCTCTTTGCCCTCTTCTTTGTCCTTTCCCCTCTCCTTGACGTTAGTCTCCTAGCGTCTTGGCCCTTTCGGGGCTGGTGCATCTATCTCAAACCTTATGCGGTTTGATACGCGGCGACTACAATGTTAGATTTTCTCTGACAGATACGAGACCGACACCTTTTGCGTAGCACAACAGATACTATGCAGACACAAATTACCCCTGGTGCAGTGCGCTTCTTGAGGAGAGTCCGTTTGCATTGACCAGAGCAAGCTGAGCTGCAGAAAGGAAACAACCCACCAAAGAGCGCCATTTATGCAACCAACTTCAAAACTCGTGACTTTTATTGGGATGGGCAACCTGCATCCCAGCAAGCCCCAGAACAATCCGAGCAAACCAACCAGGACCCAGTACTCAAATCCATGCCAGAATACGGAGTACGGAAATGCTTCTTTGACAACGCGTCTTGTACGGGATGACCGCTGTAGTGCACCCGAGCTATTCTGGCCTGATTACGATTAGAGATCTGCAGCGGCTTGACCCCACAGTTGACATCAAGCCAGAAACAACTCTTGACAACAGCCGCCGTAGTGGAGAGTAGAGTCATCTCAGTCGGAGTCCTTCACAGCTTCTGATAAATGTGGCCATCCACTAATGCCATGCATAGTATGGGAGTCAACAATGCCAACTGCGAATCCAAGACAGTGATACAATATGGCGAAGCTAATGCATCACGCCTCTTACCTTTGCGTCAAAGAGGCGGCAGGGACTGGTGCTTCTCTGTCAGATTCTTTGTACAGCCGCACATGGCGAAACAACCGCGGCACATCCACCTGTCACTTGTGCAACAATAACCTGGAGGCGGATCGGCCTCAGGAATTCACCCACGTAGCTTTTGGCAATGGTCCAGTACTGTACAAAGGGATCACAATTGTGCTTCTAGCTCCCTGAACATGGCCGGCTCAACCTCGATGACATCAGGAAAGAAGAGTTCTATGTATGCTTAGACACCCCCTGAGCCATTTCAGCCTGTAGGGTCATTACTGGACGTTGGATTGCCTGTATCTTTGTTTCATCCACAGATTTGTGTGTTTGTCTGTGTGCAAATGGGTACCAGGCCTACGATCCTAAATGACAAAAAGACTTTGGCAATATAGTCTAAATTTAGGATAACTTTTGCTAAGTTTATTTTGACATCCTACAGTAAGGTTCACTGTTTTCTTGCTCCCCGAGGGTACTCTGATACTTTATCCAGACCAAGGAGGAGCTGGGCAGTTCTTTTTTTAGCGTGAAACATTAGCCTCAAGATCTATCAATTCAAACGAAAGAAACCAAGCAAATTCGAGAGCACACCTCACAAGAATTGAGACCGCGCTGCTAAACTTTCTTTACTCTGTCCCCTTGGTCGAAAATTGCCTAAGTTGTCATTGAGCGCATGTTCGTCTTGATCAAACAACTGACATAAAGAAAATGTGCCCTTCGTCCAATGGCATAATGCTTAGCCTTAGCCATTCTGTTAAAAGTCCTGCAGTCGGATCACTTGATGGCGAGGGAGCCTTCGGAAGTTGCACTGAAACAATTTCCTTTCACAACGTCTTGAGGTTTTCTATGCACCGGCACTCTACTGCAGTTAACATAAGTCCTGAAACAATTTCGCTGTTCATCTGGAGTTGCTTGTTGTTGACCACTTAATAAATATATCGTGATTTGAATTATAGGCTTATAATATTAGACAGTAAGGCATGTACTCAGATATGGAAGTCTTGTAGGTACTGCCCACTGCAAACCACCTATCGACGAGGTATTTCGTATAAGTAAAAAGTACGTCTTCTCTCACACATAGGTATTCTTGATTAGCGCAGTAAATGACGATGCGATAATCGTCTTCATCTTCGTTAACATCCACGTCTCACATAACTAAGATATCATTTTCAGTTTTGTCATACAAAGTTGTGTACTTGAGTACTAGGTATTTTATGAAGAAGAAATGCTGCAAAGGCCAAGGTACCTACCTACCTAGGTACCTTAGGTATTAGCAAACCTAGTAGCCGAGCTGATCCGCACATGTCATGTCAGTGGCCGGGTATGTTAATGAGTCAAGGGAATCGGGATGATGCACCCGAGCCATTGGATCCAACGTGCCTTATCCAGTAGCTTCGGTTAGTACCCGTAGCTTGGGAGCTGAATCAGTTCTCGCGACAAGAAAACACAAGACCCAGGCCCTACTCCGTGGTGACGACAGAAATAGTTAGGTAGAGAGGCTTCGTCAAGCTTGGAGGGCCTTCAGGTTTCTTAATTCTGGTCTGGTTAAAGAGGGTTTCTTGCTACGCGATAGCTATTTTGGCATACCGTATTTCGGAAAAGGTTGAAGATCCGCATACTTCGAGCGTTGAAAACCGCTAGAGTCTGGTCTAACTACTTAAGTATGACCTAACTAACTCTTTAAGGTACGGACTGCCTAAACTTGGTACTAACTTATTAGACCACCTACCTTAGTAGGTAGGTAGGTAATTGGTGTATTCTTGATAATGCAATGCCCAACTGGCAGCTGGATTCCAACAGTGGGACAGATTCTAGAGTAAAGCACATATGTACCTACATGTCTGGCAGGAGTGTGAATGTCTAGAAAAACGCTAAAGTTCCATCAGACGGGCTTAAAAGACATCATCGCGTCGAGTAAAACATTAGAAGCTTAATTGGGAAACGAGATTCGTGACACCCGTTTGCCCAGGTTCAGCCCATGTTACCATTGGAGGTTATAAGGCATACCGAGATAGCAGGAGTGCAACCAACAGCTTACATAAATTAAGACATGAAGCTTATACGGCTCTTCGCACCTTGATTACCAGCATTTTCTCAGTTTCATCAACGCTCTTTGGTTGTTACTGAAAGTGAAGGTGATCACTTGCAAGCTCCCTCACATTGTGTCGTGGTGATTGACTCGGGGATTTTTTGTAGGCCGGGAGCCCGATGTTGACCGTGCGCCGGGAATAACAGCTCGGGGTCCAAATTTGATGAGCCGATAAAGAGAGCTGGTCAATTGGAGCAAGCTGTGCAAGCCAGCAAGGCGCCTCGTTGCACGCTCGCCTGGAAGGACCGGGTCGAATTGAGGTCTAGACTCTCTATTAGCTCGGACATTTTGGGAAATGGATCGACCAAGAGACAACGGGTCCAGTGCTAGGGTATCCAGTACTGAGCCTTGAAGGACCTGGGAGCCGGGATTATTTAGAGAGCTCTGGAAACAATGGCACTTTGGCTGTAGGAAAGAAGAATGAAATGTCGTTCTTCATTACTAGAGGTCTCGTATCGAATCTCGAGATGTACCAGGAGTACTTTGAAGCCTTATAAGCTTAGGTAGCA